CAATCATATTGTGATATGAAGCGACCAATAATAAAATTAACTAATATTCTACTAAAAGTTCATATCACAACAGTATAAATTATCTTATTGAGAAGATAATCATATCTTGTTAGAAATAAACCTTATACATATTACCTTATTAAAAGAATAGTTAGTCATATAATTTCTTGAAGTTATAAAAGTAAATAATTACCGTGAATACAGTTACTATTACCATTTTAAAATAATTACATACGCATAATCCTAAAATAGTAATAATACTAATATTATCATTCTCATAATCACTTACAGATAACTTATCAACTCATAACTATCTAACTTATCTATAGATATTCTGTTATCTTTCTCATTAATCTCTATTATTTATTTTCTTGATAATCTGATTCTATGAATACTTATCTCTTTTCTTCTTATCTTCTTATTTCAAATCAAAACTCTTCAAATCTCAGTTCTTTTCATATATTAATTTATTTCATAATTCTGAAAAACTATTTAACTTTTTTGCTTTCAAGTATAACTAACTTTTAAATATCAATCATATATAATAGTCAAAATAAAATACTTATTTACTATGAGTATCAATTTCAAAGATAAATCTTTAAATTACATATCTTTCATCTCTTATAATATAATTCTTAGAATACAAACAGATTCAAATCTTTATAAATATCAATTTCTATCTTCTCTATATATCAATAATATTTGTTCAATAACAAGATATATTAAATTAACACATACTAACTTTATCAAGTAAAAGTTGCAACTGACAACTTCTTATAATACTCTTCTTAATTTTATAATACTAGTTTAATTCTAAATTAACCTATCAATAGCTAATTATATTAGTATCTTTTTAAAAGAACTTTTCTGATAGCTCATTTTGTATAATAGAAAACTATTCCTAGAATAACTATAATTTTGTAATTTAGCATAATTTCTTATATTTTGGGTAGGATTATACTATAATATGTTAAAATAATAATAATAATAATAATAATAATTATTATTATTATTATTATTATTATTATTATTATTAATATAAAATAATCTTTATTTTATTTTCTTATAAATATAATTTTAATTTAAATAATTAAATAAATTTTTTAGTAATATTACCTATATTTTATTTTTATATTTTATAATTATAATTTTTTCTTATAAAAATAAAAAAAGTTTGATTTTATTAAAATTATATTTGTCAAATTAAATATAAAAATCTATTTCTTGAATTTTAAATATTTTTTCTAAAATATCAAGCATTTACATTTTATAAATTAAATAAATTTCTTAATTAAAAAGTAAATTCAAAATTTAATTTGATAAAAAAGATTTATTTTATTATATTAATGAATTAAATCTTGAATTTACTTTTTAGTTAAGAAATTTATTCAATTTATAAAATATAAATGCTTGATAATATATATATATATATTATAAATTATTTAATATATATAAATAATCAAAATTTTCATTTAATAATAATTTTGGATTATTATTTGTCAAAAATATATAGCTTTGTTTTAACTTGACTAGCTTTTTCATTTTATAATAAGATTTTGTATCTGTTGTATTTCTTAAGAATTTAATTATTGAAACATAATTGTTGGAACTAAGTTGTATACATTGTATTAGCTAATTCAATTATAATGTTTTAAGTATATAAAAAAATGTGCTTTACTAATTAATAGATATTTTAAATTACATACAAAAAGAAAACTCTATTTTATATTTATATTTTCAAGGCTTCACAATTTGGCCTTCTCATTATTCTTGATGTCAGATTCAGACTCGGCATATAATTTGTCAAGTTCTTCACGGAAATATTGTTTTGCTTGGTGTCGTTTGAGTTTTAACCTATAAAAATCGATTTCAAAAATAAAATTTATAATTAATAATTAACAATACAAATTGATAATATCCAATTTTGTTTTTGATACTTGCGTTGGCGTCAATAAATCATTTTCGATAGAGAATGGAGTAGATATTAATTTGATCGCTTTCACAAACTCAAACCTGGGAGAAAAACAAATTTTCACATTTACAATTATAAAATTCTTTGATTTTTATGTCTTTAATGATTCAGAAAATAATATAAATCCAAAAAACTTACCCGCGCAATTTTCCCTGCTTTCCAGCACGATCCATCTCCGCTAAAAACGCTTTTCGCACACGTGGATTGTTCACAAGCTTATTAAGTCCGTCAGCATCACCCAACGAAACAGTTTCACCAGTTATTTGATTTGCCCAGGGAACAAATGTTTCGGGGTCAGGTACAACAATGGCAATAAGGTAATTGCGCAACGAGTCGCCATGAACGAAAATTTGTAGTACATAGGGTGAGTTTAAGTAAACATTTTCTATCTATTAATGATTGTTAATAAATTTTTTCGTTAATAGTTAACAGAAATTTTGGATGCAATGATATTTGCCTTTTCAGGTGCCACGTATTCCCCCTGAGAGAGTTTAAATATATTTTTCTTGCGATCCACGATGGTAAACGCACCTTTAAGACATATTATGCGCTTAAAAAATAACGAGAAAACAAAGAAAATGATCACCTATCTTCAAAATACAATACTAACCTCGGTCATCAACATACGCAATATCTCCACTATGCATCCATTTTTCCTCGTCTATCGTATCTTTAGTTTTCTCTTCATCTTTGTAATATCCGACAAAACAGTTCGTCCCACGAATACAGAGTTCGCCACGAGGATATGGTTTGTCAGTCGATAAATAGTTCATTTCGGGAACATCCACAAGTTTTACTTCAATGCTATTAAAACGAATATCATTACCATTTTGAAAATTTGCATCATATTAAATAACAGTGATAATTTCTTACCTGGGAACGGGACCACCGACATGACCAGCAAGATTTTCACCTTCTAGCGTTACAACGCCGCCGGCTACACTTTCAGTCTGTCCATATCCTTTTTTTTTCAAGTGTCAAAAATAAACACAATAAACAAAAAAGATGAAGACGAATTTTCTTAATTACAAAGTAAAAAAATGCACACCTTCAGCTATATCACACACAAACGCAATTCTCAAAAACTGCAAAACTTCTGGAGCGATCGGCGCAGACCCAGTCAACACAAATCTTACTCGACCACCCAACACTTTTTTCACTTTATTGAAAATAATCGCATCCCATAATGCATGCGTGTATCCTTGCCCATCTTGGAGTTTCTGTAGTTTTGCCGCGACAGCTCGTCTTGCCAAAGTGCCCTTGATACCGGGCGCCTCGATTGTGCTTTGCGCAAGTTTGGCATAAATGCGCGTCAGTAGTCGCGGAACTGATGGGAATAATGTTGGGCGTAGTACGGCGATGTCTTCGATTAGTCCTAACATATCGCCGCGGAAATAGCCAATGCTGGAACCTCTGGCAACTACACATAGTTCAACTAAACGTCCCATAATGTGAGCGAGCTTTTGTTTTCATAAAAAAGGAATTATAAGTTAAGTATTGTTCTCATATGATATTAATTTGCTCAGATTGTAATAGATAATGGATTATCCAAATACCGGTAGATAAGATATCAAAACCTACGTTTTATAATAGAATTAAAAAGTCAATAATGAAATTACAATAAAAAGAATCCCAAAACAATTACAAAACTCACATCATTCTCGTCAGAATTCCAAGCCGCCAAACTCCCAGCGATAGCGCCAACAAAATTAGCATGAGTCAGCAAAGCGCCTTTCGGCACATCCGTAGTACCAGACGTATAACAAATGCAAGCAATATCCTCCGGTTTAGGCGGATTATGCGGATACGTATGTTCACTTCCCAGCTTTTCAACCTCGGTAAACGTATAAAGCTTGATGCCTTTTTCTTCGGCCCATGCTTTTAACACGTTCGCCGGTGTGACTGAAGTAATTGGCAGAGAAGTGTTGTCATCTAATTCGTCCATTGAGATTATGATTTTTAACCCGGGAATTTTTGAGGCTATTTGGAGAACGCCGGGGATGCGGTTGCCGGCGATTACGGCAATCGGTATTTCGGCGTGATTGATTACGTATTGAACAGCGTCTAAAGATTTTATGTTAAAATTTTATAAATGAGAAAAACAATTACTTAATTTAAAAAAGAATTCGTTACCTGGTCCTAACGTATCATAAAGCGCAACCGTACGAAGATTATAGGCAATATTAGCCTTAAATTTTTATATTTAATAAGTTATAAATTATTATATTAATTGAATTCTTAATATATGATATTAAGTTCCTTTTTTTACCTGATCCGTTATAAACCATTCTATTTTTTTTTAAAAAAAAATTAGAATTTTTAAATTTTTATTTATCGAAAATTATAATATAATAAACATTCATGTCACCAGGTCTGTTATTCGAATAGATTCCTACAGCCCATTGTTCAGTTTTCGGATTCTTGACCACCTAATTTTTTTATTAATAAATAATGAATTCATTTCTCATTTATCAATTTTCAAAACACCAATAATTATCAGAAAATATAGAGTAATACATACAGTATCACTTAAATATAATAACCCAGATCCAAACTTCGTAATTCGATCCGCCACTTGTTCGTAAGTTTGCCACACATAATTCTCGTATTGCTGTGTTTTTTTGTCGAAGTAACGGTGTCCAATACAGTTTCTTGTTCTTGACATTTTTAAAGCTGAATATATGTATATTATAAAACAGAATATGAAACAAAACAATTAAAGTTGATTTTCCTAGAAAAAGAAAGATATACAAGATTTATTTTTACCATTCTGAAAAGTCTCGTACAATGTTTTGACATTTGGACTAATAATAAAGAAAATTGATTATTATTATAAACCAACTTTTAATTATTACAGAATGAAATTCTACCTAAAACTCGTCAGCAAATTATCCGAATACAAAACATTTCGATAAATTCCTATTATGATTTAATTCATCTATTAAAGAACTAAATGAAAATATTACAAAAGACAACATTTAACAACTAAACCCCGAACTTTATACCTGTTTGCCCAGGTTTTCGAGTATTCGGAAGCTCCACACTATACTTTTTAGGTGGTGTAGTAGCCATTTGAACTATTATTATATAGTTAATAATGTCCTTGGTTTTTTCAAAAAGAACTAAATTAACAACTATGAACAGAATACGCGATCGATTAGTTTAAAAAAAATTCTACATATCGAAATATGCGAGATGATCAATCACATTGGTGTTACATGAGTGGTAAGTACAATTAAACAAATTAAGCATTAATACATTGCTATTTTAGATTATCGAACTATAATGATCTACACATTTTGATTTATTAAGTCGATCAATTTTTTTATTTTTTATTAATGTTTCAATTCTCAATCTCCCAATATTTCCAAAACTTGCTCAGTAGTGACAACTTTCTCCCTCGGTTTTCCTTTCTGTCTACCTAACTCGTTCTCTTTCTCTTCGACTTTCTTCCAATCATCAAATGACACAGTACGCACACCTCTTTCTTTTAGTAATGGTATTATCGCGTCCGCGCCTTGTTTAGGCCCTATCCCGGGATTAGGAATCATTGGTTTTTTCTGATCGATATCCGATAGTATAGTTTCGGCTGTTTCGTACGCGTCGTACATCGTGGCAGCTATGACTCCGCTTGGGCCTCTTTTGATCCATCCAGAGACATAGAATCCGGGCAACTATAATAGGATAACAATGTCATATGTAGCGATATGTAAACAAAAAATTTTGATTGTCCACAGTGAATCTATTTAATATGCACCTCGTTGCCCTCTTCGTCCAACATTTTACCATTCACATTAGGTATCAGCCCCCTTTTATGATCGAATGGTACACCCTCTAGCGGTTTACTACGATACCCAAGGCTCTTCACGACCAAACTAGCTTCTAATTCTTCCACATTACCAGTTGGAACCGCAACGCATTTCTCGAATGAACCCTCCAGTCTATTCACATTTAGTCTTAATCCTTGTACATACGAAGGTTCCGTTTCATTATTTGGAATAAATTCTATTGGACTTCGTAGAAACTTTAATGTCCATGTTTTTTCGGGTTGATTATTGGTAGTTGTAGTATTAATAAATCCCTTTTCTATAATTTGCATTAACCGCTTCAATGAACGATTTTTCGAAATTAAATCAGCATGTGTTTCTAATTCTTGTTTCACAAAATTGAACTCAGTCACGAATTTTGTGTTTGGCAAGTTCATCATTTCGCGTAGTTCTTTGGCGGTAAATGAAACCTCTCAAATTTATTAAATTTATTAATTTCAAAAAACAATTAAAAATCTTTTTACTAAATATTATAAAAAATACCTGCAACGGCCCTCTTCTTCCCAGCACAATAACATTCCGTATTTTACTATTCCGTAGCGCTGATAACGCGTACTCCGTAATATCAGTCTTTGCCAACGCACCAACATCCATCAACAAAATACGTGCAATGTCTAGCGCGACATTTCCATGACCAATCACCACAGCCGTATCCGATCTCGTCAAATCCGGCATCAAATTACGATATTGTGGCATCCCATTATACCACCCTACAAACTCTCGTGCAGAAAAAATATTTTTCAATACTGTACCGTCCTCGAATTCGATTCCAAGAGTTTTTTCCTCGGTTGCGCCATACGATAACACTATTGCATCGTGATGTGCTTTGAGATCGTTGATTGTGAGGTTTGTGCCTACACTCACATTACCCACAAATCTATACCTTGGATCACGCGCGACCTCGTCGAATCTATTTTGAGCGTTCTATCAAATTATGTTATCTAAGGTGTAATGAAAGAAATCATAGCAGCAAGGTTTTAAGTGGGGGTAAATTTTACCTTGACCTCCGGGTGATCGGGGGCAACACCGTACCGGACTAACCCGTGTGGAGTCGGTAGCGCTTCATACATGTCTACTGTAGCAAACGAGCAGTTTTTTAGAACTCGCTGAGCTGTGTAGAACCCTGCTGGTCCACTACCAATAATTGCAAGGCGAAAAGGGTTATTGATGGTGTTGATGCCAGCAACATGTGAACTGGATTTATGTTGCTGTTTTTTGGTATTGTAATAAAATGAAGGGCTGTGAAAGACTTTTGAAATATTAGGCAAATACTTTTCACGAACGCTTTTATTAAATAAATTAATAGTAGTAATAGTAGTAGGCGGAAAGCGCCCAAAGCAACTTGACATTTCAGAGCGAGAAAACTAAAAAACGTGTTTTTTCGGCGGATCAAGAATCTAAGTTCATGTAAAAAAAAAATGACGTAAATTAAAATCATGTATCATTAATCTATTGTTTAGAAGTTTACTCAACTTTACTGAGAAAACATGACACAGTCTACAACTAATGTCTTTGGCGCTACTGCCTCGTTTCTCCCGCCTCCTGGACTTTCTAGCGTCATGCCCACGACAACAACACAACCACCGACACCAAAGCACCCACCAAACACTACTCCGAATAATACTATCTATATTAATAATTTGAATGAGAAAATAAAAATTCCAGGTTTTTTCTTTACTTACATGTCACTTAAATTGGGTGGGACGTAGGAAAGGCTCATTTGATTTTATTTTTGAATATCAAATTATGGCCAAAAACGAAAACAGTCCTCAAAAAAACCTTGAGAACAATTTTCGAAAGGTACGGCGAAATATTAGATATTGTTGCCCACGGGAATCTTCGAATGCGTGGGCAGGCTTTTGTCGTGTTCAAAGACCAAGAAAGTGCAGCACAAGCAATAAAGGAGGTTAACGGGTTTATACTTAAAGAAAAGGCAATGGTAACGTCTTCATATCTTTGAATGACTAATTGTATTAAAAAATTAATGAAAGATGAACAATTCAATTTTGATTATTTTTTACTCAAAAAACAGCTTATACAATATGCAAGATCAAAATCGGATGCTATCGCTATATCCGACGGCACCATCGAAGAACATAAACGACAAAGATTAGAAGCAAAAGGTACTTGATATTTTTTTCCCATAAAAATCAATTTTAACACCAAAATATTAAACTAATCAATATCATCCTCTTTATATCAAAAATAGAGAAGCGCGCCAAAGAACCACCTCAAAAACGGTTCAAAACAACTCATTCAGGAGGCTTTCAGGCAGGAGGACCATCAGGTGCCGCAGGCGGATCGGGAGGTGGAGGCGGAGGAGGTTGTGCATTTTCATATTTATTACTTGTGTCTGTTTACCTCGCTAACATTAACAAGAATTTTGCTGGCCTCAATTACTTCTATTATATTTCTGATCAGCAGCTAGCAGTAATATCGCGGACGAGTTTCTCCCACCGAATAAGATTCTGTTCTTGCAGAATTTACCGGAAGATATTACTGAAGCAATGCTTACTGCTTTATTCCAACAGTATGTGTTTATTTTTGTTTATTTCTTCTAATTATACAATACTATAAATAATGTAACTATGATCATTGCAGATATCCCGGATTCAAAGAAGTTCGTACCGTTCCTGTAAAGAAAGAAATCGCGTTCGTAGAGTACGAAAACGAAACACAGGCAATGATCGCTAAAGAGGCCTTATCCAATTATTCAAATCATAAAATTAAAATCACATTTGCAAGGAAATAAAATAGAGGTTGTCTCACATCAACCATCGCCATCATCATCATCATCATCATCATCATCAACAACAATCACCACTACTATCATTGATGGATTACTGGTTTGTTTTATATGCATATATATATATATACGGTTGCATTTTTTCATGTTTTTTGTGTAGAATGAATGATTGAGAGGATATAATACCGCAGAAAGGAAGAATGAATTTGATTGATTGAATCTCAAAAACTATTCGCGGCTAAGGTACGTCAACAAGGCCGTGAAAAAGGAATATTACTTCTAATGATGTTCCCCATTCCCTCTTTTTTCCAAAGGCCGGATTTCTACTACATTATCCATTACTTAACATAATTGCTCAGATACCATTTTCAACCATCATCATCAACAACTCTTCGAGCAAACAACATCTTAATTATACTGATGAATAATGAATCTCTAATCGAGAAATATAGATAGAAAATTATTGCATATTTTTGGGTAAAGTATATCAGAAAATGGTAATATGATCTGATATATACAAAATTTCTATAATTTGTTTTCTATTAAACACATTATTCACATATTTTGTACGAAGATAACAATGATGGTATAGTATATTATCGTTATATATATAAATAAATAATTTATTTCAATTATGATTGTCATTTTTTATGGTTGAGTAGTATTGAATTGGAAAAATAAAAACCTACAACCACGAGTCAGTCTTAAAATTTTAATTTGATTAATATTTTATTTATAATTCTATATATTATCCAATAGAGACTTTTATAGCAAAATTTCTGACAGTTTTTGTTAGAACATGAATAGGTTCACGGGTAAAATTTCAAGATACAAGCCATTTTTCAAAAAAGCAGTTTGATTTTTTTATTTGGTTTGCAATTTTTGCAGTACATACTGATCTTGTGATAAATCACATGATCCGCAAAAGTGTCGGACTCTACTAGCAATTCATTTTAATCAGATCATCTATTTTTTCAATACACCACGAACGGCCATCAGGGCCCAGAATCTCAGGTGTGAGTCGGTGATGTTCAGAATTTCTTTACACATCACGAACGGCCATGACCCAGAATCTCCAATTATATAATTAAAAGCTTTTATATAGAAATGAATCAGCTCAAACATAAAAAATTATGGTCTGGCGCAAAAAGATTGATACGCCAAGATAAAATTAATAATTGTTTCTAATAAAAATCAATCAAATTTTTACTAATCTTTATAATTTTTTATATTAAATAAAAAATGATCTAAATTAACTTTTTATACTATTTTAATTATTCTATTATACTTTAATTTAATAATAAA